TAGGTCAAAGGTGGTAATATATAGGAGAAAGATTGCAATAAGGATATAGTATAGGAAGAAAGAATTAGTTCGTAGAAAGAAAGATGTGAAGTGATCTTAATCTCTTAGTTTAAGAGAAGACAGAGAGTGTATACACCGACGCCATTGTGATCGATTCTGAGCCATGTCACCAAGGGTCTCCAACCATTGGTTACGAAAGTCACGCGGACCCCAACCAAGTAGTCTGCATCTACCAACATGGCTCAGACTAGAAGTTAGTGACTTCAGGCACTGATGCCACGTTTTGGTTTGGCCGCCCCTAACTTTCTTCCAACCATCCCCTACACCGGTTAGCATTGCACGTCGCGGTAATCGGTGTTCAGGCATACGTAATACGTGGCCCAACCATCTCAGTCGATGAAGATTCATAACCTCATCAACTGATTTACCATCATTCCCTAATACCCTGCGTCTAACCTCACTATTACTTACCCGGTGATCCCAGCAGATGCCAGCAATATTTCTAAGGCATCTGTGGTCAAATACTAGTAGCTTACGGGTGTCTTCTACTCTTAAGGGCCATGTTTCGCTGCCGTAAATTAAAACAGAACGGACAGCCGCGCAGTATACTCGTCCTTTTATTGATAGACGGATATCTCGCCTCCGCCAAAGGTGACGTAAGTTGGCAAAAGCCAAACGAGCTTTACGAATCCGTGCTGAGATTTCGTCAGACACCAACCCATTAGGGCTGATCAGACTTCCAAGATAAGTGAAGTTGTCAACACGTTCGACTACTTCACTCCCTATCCTTAGTTCAGGTGTTGACGCAGACCAGTCCTGAAGCAACAACTTGCATTTAGAGGGAGAGAAGCGCATCCCAAACATTCTGGCATTGTTGCTTAGTGCTACCAGAAGACTCTGCATTTTGTCAGCGTCTTCACCAAACAGGACTATGTCATCTGCATATTCTAAGTCGATAAGTGGACCTCCTGGAAGGAGATCAATACCCGAGAATTCAGTCGACGAGAGTGTTATTTCCATCAATAGGTCTATGATGAAGTTAAACAAAAATGGAGAAAGTGGGCAGCCTTGACGGACACCACTTGAGGTTGTAAAGGTAGATGACAGTTCGCCATAAGCCCTGACTCGACTAGTAGTGTTCGAGTAAAGAGCCTTCACAAGGTTTATGTACTTCTGAGGTACGCCTTTCAATGACAGACACTGCCACAGAGTCTCGCGGTCTACAGAGTCAAATGCTGCTTTTAAGTCAAGAAAGACCACCATCGTCGGACGCCGATAGGTATGCCTGTGTTCTAGAACCTGACGAATGGTGAATATGTGGTCGATGCAGCCACGACCAGGTCTAAAGCCAGCTTGGTTCTCTCGTGTTTGTAGTTCACGAGTCTTAGTTAGGCGTTTGATAATTATCGAGGCCAGTATTTTAGATACTATGTTTGTTAAACTAATCCCTCTGTGGTTGTCACAGGATGATTTTGACCCTTTCTTATATATTGGGACGATAAGTGATTGCGACCAGTCAGATGGGATAACGTCTAACTCCCAGATTTTAGCCAAAATATTAGTCAACCTAGTCGCTAAAATTGGACCACCATCCTTAAAGACTTCTGGAGCCAGTCCATCTGGACCAGCTGCCCTTCCTCGTTTCAGATTAACTATAGCCTTCTCAACTTCAGCAAGAGTTGGGGGACCTACTTCAATGTTCCATTCACTTTGTCTGGGAATGGAGGGTAGTTGTAGAGTAGCTGAAGGCCAGCTGAACTGTTCTCTAAAATGTTCCGCCCATCGTTCTAAACGTCTGGACTGGGAGCAGATGAGAGTATCATCTTTTTCCGAAATAATCTCACTTACACTTGACTTATTAGTTCCAGTTTCTTTTATTAGTCTGTAAAGCTGTCTTGTGTTCCCTATAGTCGCCGCCTTTTCCATCTCTTTTGCTTTCGTTACCCACCACTGCTCACGGTCGTTCCTTAGACTTTTTCTTAACCTAGATCTGATTTGTTTACGCTCTTCATCATGTTCAGAACCTGATGGGACGAGTTTGCGAGAATCCATCAGTGTGACAGACCTTGAAGAAATCCACTGGTTCCTTGTAACTCTGTGGTTTAAGTCACTAACAGATGTCACTGCTGTTTCCACAGCTGCTTGTATGTCCTTCCAAGCAACATCTGGGTCAGCCTCGTCTTCACAACTAAGTGTGACCTCATGGAGGAGATGAAAAGAAGAACAAAGATACCTACCGTTTCTAAGAAAGTATTGTTCATAAAATTACAATTCCTAAAGGACACTATTGAGGAAATTGCGATTTAGAGACTAAGAAAAGCGGTACAAAAAACATTTATGGCAGCCTGACTAAGTGCTATCTTCTGCAACCACCCCACAATAAGAACGGCCAATAAAGACAGATTGCCTGAATTCTCCAAATCCATGTGTATTTATCGATTCAACTGCTCCTGTGGAGCTAGTTATATAGGGCGTACAATTCGGCAAGTTCGTCATCGTATAACAGAGCACTATCCATCGTGGTTGAGCATAGGACAGGTAAGAGTGATTAAGAGTTCTATTCTCGCTCACTTGGTTGACACAGATCACCAAGTTGAGCTGAATACGGCTTTTAAGGTTATCCATCATCAAATTTGCCACATAGTTTATGGGTGCGTCTTTTGCATATTGCTGAAGCCATCGCAATCCAAGTTCATAAACCTAACTTTTTCATCCATAAGAAGTTTGTACAACCACTTTCATTATCTTGGCTATCGGTATAGGGGCGTTTATAGCAGAACTATTTTTGCATTTCTTCCATTTTTCGTTTGTTTTTTGAATTTTGTATTTTTTCTCAACATTCATCTGTTGATGCTTACATAACTATTATTCTACTGACAATTCATTAAAATACTCAGTTCCTTCTCTTTTTCATATATTATGAAACATGGCAACTGCTTGATTTTTGAATGATTACTTTGATTATTATTAATCCTCTTTCTTCCACTTACTCAATAGTAATTTATAATCGATATGTCATTATGTAATTATTACGTTGCGTATCCTTACTTACTTACTTACGCCTGTTACTCCCAATGGAGCATAGGCCGCTGACCAGCATTCTACAACACACTCTGTCCTCGACCTTCATTTCTAGTTCTATCCAATTCTTGTTCATTTGTCTCATGTCTATCTCCATTTCCCAGAGTAATGTGTTCTTTGATCGTCCTCTTTTCCTTTGCCTTGAGGATTCCATGTGAAGGCTTATCTCGTGACGCATTTGGTGCTTTCCTCAGTGTGTGTCCATCCACTTCCAGCGCTTCTTCCTGATTTCTTCCTCCACTGGGATCTGATTTGTTCTTTCCCATAGTAGATTGTTGTTGACAGTGTCTGGTCAACGGATCCGAAGTATTTTACGTGAATGACTGTTAATAAACACTTGTAACTTGTGGATGATGACTTTCGTAGTTCTCCAAGTTTCCGCCTCATACAGTTGAACTGTTTTGACATTTGCATTGAAAATTCTGACCTTGGTGTTGGTTGACAGTCAGCTGTTTTGATTTCCAGATGTTCTTCAGTTGTAAATACACTGCTCTTGCTTTACTGATCCGCGCCTCCACATCTGCATCTGGTCCACCGTGTTCATCAATCATGCTGCCTATATATGTAAATGTTTTTACATTTTCTAAATCTTCTCCGTCAATTGTGACTGGATTGGTGCGTGCTGTGTTGTATCGGAGAATCTTGCTTTTCCCTTTGTGTATATATTGAGACCTACTTCTGTTGAGGCTGCTGCTACACTGGTCGTTTTCTCCTGCATTTGTTGTTGTGATTGCGATAGGAGGGCTAGATCATTTGCGAAGTCTGCCTGGAGTCCCTCCGGGGGCTACTGCCGGTTCCAAGTCCGGATAAAGGAGGAGGGCTGAGTATGAGGTTAGCGAGATCATCCCGTAGAAAACTAACTCGCTAAAAAAAGTGTAACGTATCCATTCGATGAGTACTATTTTACTATTGTAAATCGTATATATATATATAGATGTAGAATCATAACAACTAATAATGATCATTGATAAATTTAACCTAGAAAATATATGGTACCGTAATCACCTTAAAATCTGTTGCCATCATCAACAGTATCAACCTTTTCTTGTAATTAAACGAGAGTTATCATTATTTCATCAATAATTCATTCATTAATTTCATTACTCTAAATCAATTATCATTTCAGAAGGGATTTTTTTAATGTGGATATGATAGTAATTTTAATAGATGAAATCATCAGTGCATTCAGGAATGGAGAAGATTTGTAGTTCAGGTGGATAGAGTTTGTACTACTGATTATATCGTTTAGAAGAATGTTGAAAACTTCACAACCAAACCATTCAGTTCAGAGGACAAAACTCTATCAAAATCATTGAAGAGTCGTAAAATAGAACAAAATATCTATCCAATACTTCCAGGTATTCCATGATGATCTAATTTCAATTAACTCATGATCTCAATTACCATTTGTTTAGATTATAGCAACTCATGTGCAATTGAGTTTGTTCTTATCTAACTCAATTAAGACCTTTTGTTAACTCATTTAAAGGCTAGAGTCATCCGTACTATAACAACTTATTGTACCTTTATTATTATTGTGTATGAAATATGTATGCTTGAACATTGTTTACCGCCTACTCATATATCCATTGTGCTAGCTTTATTATTAACTGCTTAATTGATTCGATGATCCATTCATTTCCCTATATATATAAACATGTACATTTAACACTCTACACTGTCGATTCACTGACTCATTCATTTGCCTCTCGATTTTATGGTCTGAATTATCTGCTTAATAAAACTGTAGTCCCTGCTTCTCTTTACCTTCTGATTTCAAACACCGTTGAAGATTATATGATAATAGTTACGAGGGTGAGTGGTCAACGAAACACAGTCACTACATGATTATGTAATTTATTGATTTTATAAGTTAATTATTTATTTTTTTCTTTAATTTGTTTTCTATTCATCAATAGATCTAAATATATACGCATCATTTGATGAATTCAGTATCAATGGTATGGATAATCAAAAGAATTTTATTAAAAATCAATCATCTTCACATAAAACTTCTGGTAAATTATGTGGTTGTTTCACAAGAAGATAATAAAGTGAGATATTTATTTGGAAGAAAGCATTTATTATGACAAATGCACATTCTACTTACTTACTTACTTACCTATCTACCTACCTACTTACCTACTAACTTACTTACTTACCTACCTCCTACTTGCTTACTTGCTTGCTTACTTACTTACTTATGCCTGTTACTCTTAATGGAGCATAGGCCACCGGCCAACATTTCCCAACTCGCTAAAAAAAGCGTCAACTAGAAAAAATAATTCAAATGCACATATAAAATCTATATATTGATTGTTGAATTAGTGGATTTGGGATTTCTTTTCTTCATTTGAACATGTAATGAATATACATAATTAACGTGTACTGTTATTATTATTATTGTCATTGAGGTTAATCAATTGAATAATTCATTGTTATTTGATTAATTTAATAATTGAATTCATAGGTCCATTGAAGCTGGACCACCATGGAAAACCTCAAAGTACTGGACGGCCGTTTCGTTCTAGTATGAAACTCTTCAGCAGTGCACATTCACAATCCCGTCACGTGAGATTTGAGACCGACAGGTCCTGGGTTCTAATCTCGTGAGGCGGTATCGTGAATGAGCACTGATGAAGAGTCCCATAGTAGAACGAAACGGCCGTCCAGTACTTTGAGGTTTTCCATGGTAGTCTAGCTTCAATGGACTCATGAATTCATCTATCATCTTACTATAATATTCACAAAAACCCATCTTTGATTTGATTAATTGATTGAGAAATAACTGTGATCATTTTTAATGATGTTTAAAAAATAATTAAGATATTTTGGAAAGTTTAAGTAATAACATAGTAAATAATAGAGAAAATCTGTAGCTTAACTATGTATATTTTCGTTAGCATTGTGTTACTAAAGGTGAGTAATTAACTTACTAGGCTTCAGTGTAGATGCCATTGACCTGACTCCAAAGAATCAACAATTTGAGATTTCAAAGAGAGCAAGAACAAAGATTGGTACAATTTGTTTGTGTATTTTTGGTAAACCAGATCCACGAAGTTGTAGATTATTGTAAGTGGAATTATCGATCATCATCTTCTTCAGGAGATCCCTAAGTACTTTTGTGATTCCTTTTTTCAGTTGAATCAGTTAAGTACTTGTTACTTTTATCAAACTTGAATCTCATGTGGTCACATAAAATGGACTTCATCTTACAGACATAATCTGTTTTGTTCATTAGAACAACACTTGAACCTTTATCTGACCATAATATCATTAGATCATCATTTCGCTTAATATTTCGTAATGCTGTTAGGTGGTCTTTGGATTGATAAGTCTTGAGGATTTGAACGCTATATTCGTCTCCTAAGCTATTTTGTAACTCCAAGCTAGAACTATACAGCGACCTGAAAACGAGAGAGAAGACTCAAAGTATGCGAGAAGTAGTTTACTCCAAGGTTCATTTTAATATAGAAAATACAGGGTCTTTATAATATTTTGAATGTCCTTGGGTCGCTGGAATATTTTGGAATGCTACTAAACACAGTAGCAGTGTAGCAGCCAACCAATCAGAGCCTCTTCATGTGACGTTTCGCTTCCTTGATATTTCTGGCCAAGACTCCAAGTGAACGCTGATTGGATGAAACGCTTCTTAGTGTTTCCTGATGCTTGCTTGTCTGGATCACCCCAACAGGATAAAAGTTTAGACTGTGGTGTGGGTGAAACGAGATATTGGTTTGCGATATCAACTAATTTAGATTTAAATCAGCTTCTCTTCTCTTCACTAACTGGGTCCAACTCTTCAATTTGATCGAGTAAATTCTCAATTTGAGTTTCTGTGTCGATTCTGTCGGTATGTATTTTAGGGATATGGAATTTAAATCCAAGCAATAAAGTTTCTGCACTAATCTTCGTTGTTGCTCTCTTTAAGGGAACTATGTGTATGAAATTTGTGATTTTTCACAATGCTTTATAAGTTAGATATGTCAATCAACTACTTTTCCAACAATGAAAAATCAAAAATTGTAACTTTCAGGATCCAAATATCTCGATCTGAAAACAGAAAACGATCCAACAAAATGAGGATACATTTTATTGGGCTAAATCACTGATTCTCTTCTATAGAGTACGAAGATTCGTTGGGTCATCCATAGTTGACGAATATTTCTTAATGATATTAAAGTCCTGTGACTTCCGAAGAATTTCGGCTTTCATCCTAAGGCATCATAATTCTTCTTCAACTCCCAGCTTTAATTTGTTCAGTCTGGTTGGTGTTTTTTTAGCAAGATTTCCTCTACATAATGGAATTGCCGACCCCATGCCCAACGTTTCTCCTCTATCCCTGCTTGGAACCGTCAAAAACTCCAGGAGAATAAATTGGTGCATGAATATTTATGATACTATTGAGTAATAATAAAACATAACAAAATGCCCAAAATAATTTGACAATACTGTTGGATTATTACACAGTCGAAATTTTCCTGGATGTAAAATAGTGTACTATACAACAAAACAATAACTAAATACAACTGAGAAGTGGTTAAAATCAAAATTTGTATTTGGAGTAAATGTTTTTGAGTTCAAAAGTTGGTGGAAGGTTGAAAACAGCAATCTGTTTAAAATAATTGGTCATAAACCTAACGAAAGGATCAAGGATTAACTTAAGAACCAGTACCAAACCATCTTCTTACTTCGTAGGAGAATCAATTTTCCTTTAACAAAGTATACATATGGAATGAAGCAATTTCGATCTTTCATTTTTGCCTTATGATAATCAGTGTGTTCATTACCACTACACTTCTGTCCATCTTTTATTCGTAATAATTAACTATGATCAATATAATGAGCTTACTTACGTTATTCAGTAACCACTATCAACCTATCAGTGTCAAATACAGTTATGTGGTAATTTAACTCATAGCTTAACGTGAAAGCCACATAACCAGATGAATCTGTAACTTGAACTAACTTAACACAGTTATAAATCTCTTCTGCTACTTTCATACATTTGAAAGAACAAATAAACACTTGCTAAGCAGAGATACTTTTAGATTGTAGCGTGGAGTCGAGTTGCGATTGACTATGAACACCACTACAAGAAGACTACGTACCAGTTAAACCGATAAAATCCCCCGTAAGCCAAATATTAGAAGGCAGTTGATGGCTGTAGTGGAGATGTATTTGTTGGCGATCTCGTGGTATCGAAAGGATACCGAGATCGTGCCAAAAGGAGTACAAGTGTGGTTACCAAGCGTAACCGAACCCGTGCAAGGTCACAATCAATCGAAGGATAATGGAGCAGTAGTTTGGCTATCTTTAGCACAGTTAAACAAACGAGCACAGTAGAACAATCACTGGTACAATTGGTTATACTCGTAATTGTTTCTAATACATCAATCGTGTTCTCTTGATAAAAGTAGGTCACTACAAGATGATAACAGAAAGAAGCTAAAGATAGACAGCTAATGGCGTACTGGCACACGTATCAATCTCCATATGAGATGGATTGATAATTCACATTACTGATTTTTGATCTTCTAGGAGTTAAAATATGTGACATGAAGTTTTATAATTCATCATCATTACAAATGAATAATTTTAATAAGGTTCAGGATTACTTTAATAAATTTCTAATAGTTGGTAAACAAAAAATGTAGCTGGATTCAGTAGAAGTTCAAGTTTAAGAAGACCTTGACACGAGTTGCATCCTCTAGTTATTGAGAATTTGAAAGAGTGCGTTAATCAAGGTGACAGAAACTATTAGAAAAGCAATGTATAATAACAATTTGATGATACATGTATCTAAGCATTTTGTAACTGCTCAAGTGTTCAAAGATACCTAAAACCATAATAATGTAAACAAGTTGGTCAACAACAATCATATACATATGTCGTAAATCTATGTGAATTGAAAAAAGACTTTTGAAATATACATCAGACAAAAAATTGGTAAACTTTTATGTAAAGAAACATTAACTTGTAATGACCTACTTTTATGAAGAGAATGAGATTGGTATAATAGAAACAATTATTATTATAACCAAATTGTACCAGTAATTGTTTTACTGTACCTGTTTGTTTAAGTGTACCAAAAAACACATTCTTCCATTGTCTGTGACCTTGTGGGACCCTTGAATTTTGTCGTCATTTAGATCGGATGATGTTTGTTGACGGGCTCTCCAATTTAGTGGTCCGTGGATCTGACTCCAATTAGATCGTATGAATGTTTTTTATCGCCTATCCTAGTATATAATCATCGACTTAAATCGCGTTAGTCAATAACGGAATTAAATAAGTCAAATAACGAGAATGAACTTTTGAATACATACATTTTGTATATGGAGCGAATGGAATATAGAGAAGCAAAACGACGCGTTAATCAATATTTATAGTTACACAAAAGTAAGTTACAGATATGTGATGAGTAATGGGATAAGAAATGTACACACACCTACGCGCTCATGTAAAAACAGTCAAGGTTGATAAGCGAATAAATAACAAGGTCAGAACGTGACTCAAGTAGAATGAATAGAATGGGTTATCCGAAAGCTAGAATAAGGTATATGGGCTTAACATAATAGCCGACACTACAACCTTGCACGAACTCGAGTACGTTCAGTAGTCCCGCTTGTAAACTGTGGCATGATCTCGGTATTATTTCGATACCACGAAATCGCCAACAAATACATCTTACTATTATCTTCAATTGCCTTCTGATATTTGGCCTACAGAAGAATTTAACCTAGTAACTGTCACGTAGTCTTCCTGTAGTGGTGATCACAGACAACCACGACTCGACGCTTACTACAAACTTGTTGTATTATTATGATGTTACTCGACGGATAAAATAAATTGTAAAATCACAACCATACTGCCATAAGTTTATGGCTGAACCTGAACCAATAATGATCGATGAAGTTGAGGCGATATTTTCTGATTTATAGTTTTTTTCTGTGTTACATCGCTAGCTTGAAACCCAATCATAAGATTGTGTAAAGTGTTACAGCCCAATCTCCCA